AAAACCCCCCAAAAAAACAAAACAACAACAAAGCAAAGCAAAAACAGCAAGAAAATAAAAGAACAATGACTTCTCCCCCTCAAAAAACAAAACATAACAAAACGAAACAAAAAAACACAACCCCAAAACCAGTGGTGTGGAGCCTGGTCATACATTTGAAGGGTGAAAAACAAGTTGGTAAAACATTCACTGGTGAGAAGGGATAATTGGAAGGCGCTTTATGCAGTGGAAGGAATGTGGCTGCTGCTTACACCTCCAGATGGGACATGTGCTTTGGCTTTGGCCTTCTGACTCTGCCAGTTATTTCTACTCAGTTTCCCGTGCAGAGGAATTGGGAAACTCATCCCAGCTGTAGAAAGAACTAACCCCAGCCTCTCAAACACTTCCACAATGTTTTCATCTCGTAAGATGCCTATTTAAAATGTCTTTTGAAAGAGCAATTTCTTCATTTATAACTTATTCATTTTTTGCCTGTCACTATTGTAATTTACTTTGCATGGATTTTACTCACGTAGAGGGTAATAATAATCATGCAAACACATATGTATATGATACAGCAATAGACAAAGCCATCTGTAGTTGGGTAAGTCGTCCCTTAGCACTGGTCCATGAAAATCCTCTTAATATAATAATAACAAAGGAAAGAGGAGGAAGAGAGAGTGAATTACAAATTATTCTCTTACTTTTGGGACCGTGTTTTATGACTGAGAGGTCAAGAGTTTTGAGAAGAGTTTGCTAAAAACGGTGGGTCTGCATCTTCCCAGACATGCAACGGACCGGCAATCCATTGCATGAAAAGAACATAATGACTGGCTTGTCCACTGTGAGTTGATTTCACATGAACTCAGTTGCCCAAACTCTCAAATTTGTTATATCATTGTCAGTAATGATGTTGGAACTCCTTTGGATATAAATTCTCAACCATTGTGGCATTTGGAAGAATAGTATTTGCCTACTGTCTAGGAAAGAGATTTGCAGTTTGGAAAATTTTGCAACATGGAAAGTCTTTGGAATTATGCTCTAAAAGTTAGAATGCTGTATGGAATTGATTTTCTTCCCTCATTTCTCTTGCTGGGCAGCTGCCTGGCTACAGGCTTGTGAGGTCATGTTTCTTCTATACCTTAGAGAGTTTATTACAAATCATATTATAGTTTGCTTGTCTTTTTTTCAAAATTGTTATTTCAGTGTCTTAACTAGCATGAAATTCACAATTTCTCTGGCTTTGCAGATTCAACTCAAAATGTATCAATTTACAGGGTAATTCATTCATTTAGTGAGTACACTCTAGGTGCCAGATAATGTATTCGATGATGGGGTATGAAAAAATATAAATCACTTTATAGGAGAATTGTAGTTGTCAGAGATGACACCATTGTGTCACAGAGATCCACAGAGGAGGGCAGTCCAGTGTGTGGATAATCTCACAGTGTGTCCTTTCTCTGATCATCTTGCCCCATCACTCTATTCTCTTCATCAAATTACTCCTAAGAGAGATTTTTTTTTCTTTCCAGGCTTTTATTTAAATTCCAGTTACATAACATACAATGTAATGTTAGTTTCATATGTAGAAGTTAGGGATTCATCACTTACATACAACACCTGGTGCTCTTAACAAGTGCCCTCCTTAATACCCATCACCCATTTAACCCATCCCACTACCCACCTCCCCTCTGGTAACCATCAGTTTGTTCTCTATAGTTAAGAGTCTGTTTCTTGGTTTGCCTCTCTCTAAGAGAGACTTTCTTATGACCTTCTTTCTTGCTTCTTTATCCAACTCTATTTAATTTTCTGAATCCAACTTCTTCTCCATACCAAGAGGTCTTCTCTACCATTTGCCTTGTACTAAGAACACTTCCATTCCTTTCATGTACCATACAGTGATTTCCATATGGGCCTGTTTATTTCTTGAGAAACCTAGTTTTACAGCACAGATTTATTCTGTCAATAACTCCCTAACGTGGATTTGTAACTCTTTCTTGTGGCAGTTGTGTGGCCTACTCACAGGAATGCTATTTGGCCAGCCTTCTCTCCTCTTGGATCATGTTCTGACTTAGGGAATATTGGCTTTAGAATCTTACTTCTGGGCATTTCTTACTAATCTGACATCACTCTGATTTTGTCTTATGCCAATTTTATATCCAGACAAGATCCATTCCCTCCTCCTCTGCCCTTCTCTTTCCCATCACTGCCTTATCCCCCAACTTCTGAGCATCTGTTGGACATTTGTCCACCAACCTAGTCTTGCAAGGTCTTCTAAGAGGAAAGTCATGTTGCTTTTTCCAGAGGCTCAGTAAAAGGCCAAATGAAAGACTAGATTTTGTTAGAAACCCAAGAGGGTAAGACTTAAAAATACATACAGGGGAAGACTTTCTCTTTTTCTGTTAAAAAAAAAAACCAAACAAAAACTTTTTCTTTGGTAAAAGAAATTATTACACAATTCTCTCTCTTAGGAGACAGTGACAGTGAATAAGGAGAAGTCCTAGGGCAGAAATGAACATCAGCCTTTTGTAGATGTTCTCCTGGTGTTCATGTCACAGAACTGGTACCTACTTTGTCTATTTGCTGGAAACTCAGGCACTGCCAGGGTAATATCAGGAAAAGAGTAAGAAAAGCTTCCAATGCACACCTGAAACATAAAGAAAAACTCTGACCAGAAAGAAGAGTTTGTCATTTGCACTGGAATGAACCTCAAAAGGCTTTTCATAAAAGTCCTCAACTTTATCTAATGCACAGTGTCTTCACACACAATATCAGGAGGTACATGAGAACATTTCTTCTTGACCTTTTAGTCAGACTGATCTGTGCTGTGTGACCACATAACCTGGCTGTCCTACATGTGATATAGAAATTCTATTCAATGGGGTCATTTCATCAGCTGATGGATCTTGGAAGTCTTGGGCTAGCGTATCTGAAAAAACATGAATATTTACAGACAGAGCCTCCAATATTTTAGATGGTCAGTTCTGCAAACTAAGAGAAGCCTATATTTTCTACCTTCCGGAGTGAAGATTATTTCCTTGGTGAACAAGATTGTACTGTCCTGCTGATTCTATCTAGCACATGAGAAACTTTCCCCCATGGCCTGGTAGCCTCCAGTGCCTTCTCAAATGTTGAAGTTTATGATCAGCTTGGGGCTATGAAGGTTGGAAGGGTTCCACAACAACTCAACCCTAGGAAACATTGATTAAACAGCCATCCTTGTTTCAGGGATGTCTGTAAAACAAAGAGGAGGCAAACATTTGTATTTATATAAGTGTTCTCCTTTGAATAGGATCTATTCAGAAGCTATATATTTATTACCTTGATACTTTCACTATAACAAATAACTTGGAAATTTTCATTTGACATTTGGTATAATTGCATGGAGGATTTTTGGATAAAAAGAAGATTACGTTAAAAACTATCATCTTTGTTATCTTTACATTTCTACATTTCACTTATCATTGGATAAATGAAAGCACAAGTTGGACCAACACAATTACTATAGGAAAGGGCAAAACTATAAACTTTAGAGGACCACGGTCAATGAATAGTCCTCTGCAAGGCAAGCCAGGGTACATAGGTATCAGGTTAGGACAAACTTTATACGGTTTAAAACTTCTGAACCCCAAAAAGTAAGTGACTCATGTAATGTCATACAACATTTAATGTGGTGAGATTTAACAGTAACAGGAATTTGGATAGACACTTAGTGTTCCTTATTAGAGGTTAGTCATATGTACTGTGTCCTTACATATATGCACTTGGGAATAATTGGTGGATTCAGAAGTGGTTGATCCTCTTTTCCTCTCCTTTTACTCCAGGTTTGGAAATATCCTGGGATGGAGACAGTTTTGTCGAAGTCATGGCTGCCCCTCATCTCAAGGGCAAACTCTGTGGTCTTTGTGGCAACTACAATGGACATAAGCGTGATGATTTAATTGGTGGAGACGGAAACTTCAAGTTTGATGTGGATGACTTTGCTGAGTCCTGGAGGGTAGAATCCAATGAGTTCTGCAACAGACCTCGAAAAAAACCAGTGCCTGAACTGTGTCAAGGGACAGTGAAGGTAAAGCTCCGAGCTCATCGAGAATGCCAGAAACTCAAATCCTGGGAGTTTCAGACCTGCCACTCAACTGTGGACTATGCCACTTTCTACCGGTAAGTACAGTGTTTTGGGGGATGGTTTGGGTTACAGACCAAGGAATGACCTAACCTTGAAACAGAGTATATCAGATCTTCCGGTGTACAAAACAAGGGCCCCCAAGTCACAGGATAAACACTTTTTCTTTCTTGTGTTGAGACTGATCTTATTTTGAGTACCACATTGTGTCCCAAATAAAGAAATTGTAGGGAGTATTTCAGAGCTGTCTCCTGTAGATCGTTCTGTTTTTGTGTCTGCAGGCTCACTGGAAGGCTGGTGGGCTGGTGATTTTTCTAGGTGTTAGCTTGACTCTAAGACTGAGGAGTGCTTCCCAAATTCTGTCTCAACTACAGTGGTTTAGGATAGAGATGGGAATCTCAAACAACTCTGGGTGACTTGGGTGTTTGAGTGAACTTGGTCATTTGAGGCCCGAGGAACAGTTCAGGTCTGCCTCATGGTCTAGTCCCAAACATCTGCAGGTGGAAAACAAGGCAGTGAAATGAGGATTCCTTAGATCTCGGCCAACTATCAGACTTCACAACCAAATTTAGGGGAGAGTAGAAAGAAGGCTTGAAGATGGAAGAAGAGAGGTCTCTCATTGAGAATATGGATTCTATAACCTTTTCTTCCATGCTGCGAGGCTGAATTTGTGAGTTGATGAGTCTGGCCTGGTTGTACTTCCATTTATTACACAATTCCATGGGTTCAAGAGCTATGACTGTCTATAACTTTAACCACCATGGGTGTGGGAGGAAACATGAGAAGACACAGCCCAAAAGGCCTTGTTTAAGTGATTTGCCTGTGCCTCTTAAAATGAGAAAACTCCTGTGGTCTGAAGCCACAGAAAAGTTATTTTTACTCTTTAATTGCCACCAGTTTATTTCCCCTAGTTCTCGTTAAATGTGATCTTTTTTTTATTTGATCTTTGGACATAAAAGATAAAGTTCTACAAAGACAGCTCAAAGTGGAGTGGAAAAAGGACTGTCCCTGTCATCACACACCCCTAAACATGGCTGTGTCTGCCAAACCATTTGGGTCCAACTCCTACGTTTAGCTCTTTCAAGCCATTTTCCTGTTATAATTTGAATCCCTGGGTTCCCTTTTTCCTCTTTCTTGTACCACCCCCTAGACTGACCCCACCCTTGTCTATTGAAATTGAAAGATCATTTTTTAAAAAAGGTTTATTTGTTTAGGGGCGCCTGGGTGGCGCAGTCGGTTAAGCGTCCGACTTCAGCCAGGTCACGATCTCGCGGTCCGTGAGTTCGAGCCCCGCGTCAGGCTCTGGGCTGATGGCTCAGAGCCTGGAGCCTGTTTCCGATTCTGTGTCTCCCTCTCTCTCTGCCCCTCCCCCGTTCATGCTCTGTCTCTCTCTGTCCCAAAAAATAAATAAACGTTGAAAAAAAAAATTAAAAAAAAAAAAGGTTTATTTGTTTATTTTGGGGTGGGGAGTAGAGAGCGATAGAGAGAACGTGTGTGAGCAGAGGAGGGCAGAGAGAATCCCAGGTGGGTTCCTCACTTGACAGTAGATGTTCCCAACTCAGGGCTTGATCCCACAAACTGTCAAGACTGGAGCCAAAATCAAGAGTCAGACACTTAACCAACTGAGCCACTCAGGTGCCCCTGCATGGCTTTTTAAATTGAAAAATCTTAATGTAAGACTTCGGAGTGAGTTGAAGAGCTGGGAAGAGAAACCAGGCTTTGTTTGGAATCTAAATACTCATCACTTGAAAGTCTGAGGGGAAGCAGTAGGGCATAGCAATTAAGAACTTTGTGGTCTTCTGGGGCTAAAAATACAGCCCAGCTTTACAACCTTGAGCAATGATTTAAGCTCTCTAAACCTTAGTTTGCTTATCTGTGAAGTGGGGATAATAAAAGAACCTACCTGAAAGAGTTGTAATTCAGATTTAATGCGATTATGAACGTAAATGCATGTGCCCAAATGCTATGTAATTGATGGATCCTGTAATTCTTCAATTAATTAAATTAAATGATGAGCAACCATAATGACTCTTTGGGAAGCTCCCCTGCCTCATTTGCAGATTTTGATTAGACCCTTCTCTGTCTAACATAGAAAGGAAAGGCTGTACTTCTCCCAGGGCCCCAATAGTCTACACCTTTGATTTTTATCCCATTTCAAAGGAGTGTGTTGAAAACAAAAATTGAAGAGCAGGGCTGCAGAGATTAGTCCCTTTTTGCAAATTTCTATTTCTTTTCCCTTTGGCGATTTATTTCATATTATGATCCCTGGACTGCAAACAGAAATACGATGAACACCTTGGCAGAAGTCATGAGAAATGGCATAGTCATGAACGGAGAAAACCAGAATTGTTAGGTGGCCAGGCAAATGTTTGCCTTCTGCCCTTGAAAGTTGCTGCAGCCACCACAGCACTATAGTGGGGGTTGCTTATTTGTGGAAGGGGCTTGATGTGCAGAGTTGGGGAGTTTATGAGAATGCTCCCGGGATCTTTGTGTACTGAGGTTTGGAGCACCAGATGTGATGGGAGATGAGCTCACGTTCTGCCATGCATGGTGTAGTGGCAGGGCACCCTTCTGTGGCCAGCCACTCTTTCCTGGAAGAGGCAGGGGAACTCAGTAGAGTGGAGCTGGACAACCTGCCTGTCACACATCCTGCTGATGATCTCGTGCCCCAACCACGAGGTGCGCCTTCATGCATTTTCAAATGAGGGTGGGGGTGGCCGATGTTGGATAGATTTCAGGTTTCTTCCTTTCTTTCAAGGATACATGTGACAGGAAAAAGAAGATAAACAAGGTCAACATAGAAAGGTAATTGTGTTCCACGGGATCTCCGATGAGGACCAAACCTCAGAGAGGTTTTAGGAAGCAATGGACAGAGAATGTGTTGAGTGATGCCGAGTTGGACCTAATCTCAACTCTGCGGTGTTCTAGCTGTGTGACCCTGGTGGCTAGCTGAGTTTCAGATTCTTTACCTATAGAATAGGTAGGACAGTAATGGCCTGGTGGGGCTTCTCCTCCAAGGACCAAGGTCAATGGGCAGTGCCATGTTGTACATGGTAGACAGCCAGTACTGGCACCGTGTGTTGTTGTCCTGTGTCCCTTTCTTTCCCTAGAGAATCTTGTGCTCAGTTTAGCTACTTGTCTCTCTGGTAGCTGATATCTTCTCCCACTTACATCATGGAGAACTAATTGGATGGATTCTCACTGATAAATCCCTGGAACAATTAAAAGTCAACTCTTTCTTATTGGTGACACTAAATGAGATAGTATAAGAGAAGACTCCATTGCAATCTTTTTAAAAAAAAATTTAAGTTTAATTTATTTATTTTGAGAGAGACAGAGACAGCAAAAGTGGGGGAGAGGCAGAGAGAGAGAGGGAGACAGCCAAGCAGGCTCATGCTGTCAGCACGGAGCCGGACATGGGCCTCGAACTCATGAAACCATGAGATCATGACCTGTGCTGAAACCAAGAGTTGGACGCTTAACAGATTGAGCCACCCAGGTGCCCCTGCAATCCTTTTTATAAATGTGTTTTTGGGGGAGTCTGGGGGGCTCAGTCAGTTAAGCATCCCACTTTAGCTCAGGTCATAATCTCGCTGCTCACAGTTTCGAGCCCCACATCAGGCCTGTGCTGACAGCTCAGAGCCTGCAGCCTGCTTCGGATTCTGTGTCTCCCTCTCTCTCTGTTCCACCCTGGCTCACAATCTCTCTCTCTCTCTCTCTCTCTCTCTCTCTCTCTCTCTCAAAAATAAATAAACATTAAAAATAAATTTAAAAAATAAAAATGCATTTTTGTCTTTTAAGAGTAATATATGTTCATTGTATGACATTTAAATAATATTAAAATGAATAAAGAAGAAAATGGCAATCATATATATCTCACCCATGTAAATTTTTGCTTATATATTTTATGTCATTGGTGGAATTTCTAAAATGAACCTGAAAACACAGTCATGACTGTGGTTGTGACCTTAGTTTTGAATCATTACAGGACTAAAGAGATTTGCCTTGATATCATGAAGTCATATACATAAATTGTATATAAATTTGACTCCTTGTATTTCCCCCTGACCCTCCAAAGAAATATGAGTATTTCCCTCAAGGACAAAGAATAAGGTCACATAGCATACAAAGGCAGCCTTCCAAGCACCACTGTGTTTGTGACAATGGAGAAGAAAGGGAACAAAGAAGACGTTTCTCTGAGGAAATGGTACCTTTTTGGGGTTTTCTTAATTATGTGATAAATTCCACAGGGCAAATTCTATTATAAGTATGAGAAATATTCTTATAAAGTGAAAATAATAATTACAATTTTTCTGAATTAGAATTTACTTTTGAGATGTCCAGGATTTTAGACATGGTCTTTTATTTTGGTCTTTTATCCAATTCAACATTTTAAATAGTAAACTATCATCTAAAAAATTGAAAAACTTTGTGAGTAAGAAATCAGCCAAAAAAATTTTTTTTCTCTTTTGGGAAACTTTTTAGGTTTTGCTAATTTTTATTCACAAATCAATTCTACCCCTCGTGGGCTGATTTGGCATAAAAATGTGATATTTAATTAAATATTAATTTAATCGTTGTGATCAGCATAATCTGGTTTAATTCATTAATCAAATATGTTTAGGTGCAAGGTAGTTTAATTATGAATCACATAAAATTTTCAGCTGGCTGCATTGTTAATGTGTCTTAAGTCCTAGAGTTGCTAATTGACTTGTCCTTAAATTAGATAATTCCCTTTAATAATGTTTTGCATTCTCCTTCACTGGTGTGTTATGGAGAAATTCCTAGAAGCTAGGGAGATAGTGTACTGTGGAAAAATTGATGCAAAGTCATTTGAATTCTATTTGGATTCACACAGAGACTTCCCCGAGGGGAAAATGTCGAGTATTTTCACGCCTCTCTTCTCGTTTCTCTTGTTCACCTTACTTTCCCGGCCTCGTGTTGCTTTGTCTATTCGTGTCCCGGATGCCAGCCGAGACATCCAGGAGGAATAGGCAGACGCCCCCCCCCACCTCAAAAGCTCCCTGGAGACCCTCAG